TTTTTTTTCCAATTCACCCATGTCTATTCCGGTCTTAGCGGATGTACCATTTCTATTAGGTAATGGTTGATCTGTCAATACCGTTCTATCACTTTTATTACCAGTCCCAAAGAAGTAAGTCAGAAAAGATTCACGTGAGGAATTGCTGATGCCATTCTGTAGGCCTATATCTTTAGAACCACTAGATTCTTTATCTGAAAATGGTAAGCCATCCTGGATATCATTACTGGAAATTGCCGACCCGCCCAGTGTTGAAGTATGTGTAGTATTACCACTCATGTTTGCCTATTTGAATATAGTGTTAACAAGACGTACGTCAAAAATGATAAGTAGCCTCCCTTCCCTTACCCGTTTATTAAGCTTCTCGAATTCTCTTCTTTTCTTTTCACTTTTTTTTACGAGGTCTGACATGGCTCCCGCACCTCCAATGAAATCTGGGTGATTGGTATTGACATATGCACGCTGAATACTGATTAAACTTTCCACATAAGACGTAGTAGGGTTGAGTCTTTCACGAAGTAAATCAGAAACAACTTCTATAAGTTTAGCATGTAACCGTGGGTAACGGTAAAGTTCCTAATATAATAATAATTACGTTTATTTGCTATATTATATAAAAATAATTTTTAACTTTATAATTAAAAAATACCTGACTTCCACAACTATGACATATCTTTGCCAACTCTTCGTGCACAAGTTTAACACACCTTAAACTTGGCTGTTCGAGTAAAAGAATCTGGGGCTTAACCAAAAGATCAAATGCAATTTCCGGTACGAATAGAGATGGCCTTGGGCCAGTAGAGTTTCGAATAGCGGTTCGAATATCTTGTACTGAAAGATTGCCACATGGACTAATGGTTTGCAATGCTGCGCCAAATATATTATTGAAAATATAATATATCCTTGCGCCTCCACATCTATGAATTTCAAAGATATATTACCGACAGTTAGTATAATAATTGATGTAAAAATATGGTCACTTGTACAATAATTTATCACGTACAATTCTTTTGTCGATATATCTAATGCGGTACCATCAATCGATGAAATGAAATCATTTGAGAATTTAGTAATTAATTTCAATACTAATGCTCCCTGGACGAGTAAAGGAGGTACGGGTCAGATATAAAAAATTTTGCACCGCAAGGAAAAATTATTGCTAAAAATAAACAATTAAATGACTCACTTTATTAGTCTTTTCGTCAAGTACAGGATCTCCATAAGACAAGAGTTCTTGCGTAGTTTGACTGATGAGAGTATTAATCCTAGCTTTCATATCCGGTAATCTTTCCCGTATATGATTCATAAGAATCTTAATTCAAAGTAAGTTACATGACACGTGCGGCCCAACAAAATTGTGTTGGCTTTATTTATTCGGAGCAAAGAATGTCGATTCGTTTAATGAATATCTTATTTTGAAATAACATCCAAATACCTACATGATTTAGGATCTTCGCTAAAAAAGGTGTCCCACATCTCGAAGCGATGCTTCGATATGCTGAGTGTCGTTTAAAAAATTCACTTTCAGCCTTCAAAGCTTCAGCCATAGGTTTATTACCCATTATGTCTTGTTGACTACGATTCACAACCCCAATAAAGCCCAGCTTAAGAGGTATAACGCGACCAGTAAGAACATCTAACGCATTTGTGCCGGCATCCATAAGATCCAATTTAGTTAGAACTCCAATAGTTCTTTTGCCTACATAAATCAATTCATTATTATCTTATGATAACATTTTTTTTTGTTACTTTTTACTTTTGAAGTATGCCTAACCTTCTGGATCGACTTGTTTTGCAAGCTTAAGACTCTCAGAATTTACCAGGTCAACATTTGCAGGGCTTACAGCTAAAATAATACTTTATTTATTTTGATCGTGAATATTTTTAGTTTTGACCAAAGTTTAAGAATTGGAGTTTATCAAATTCGAGGATATTATAGTGATATTAAACATACCTATTCGGTTTTGTTATGTAGTCAAGAACTAAACTTCGTGTTTGTTTTTCAATGTCTGTAGGCTGATCCCCTAAAAATGAACAATTTAATTTGATATATTAAACTTAAAACATCATGACAAGTAGACAATAACTGTACCTACCAATGGGAATCTAAGCGCGTTGTATGCAACGAAACATAAAGTTGAGACTAAAATTAATTAAAATTATTTATAAAGAAGCCTATTACCTTTGTTAGACCAGGAAGATCAACCAA